ATGCTTCAAAATCAGGAAAGGAGTGCATCAGGGATATGTCCTGTCTCCATATCTTTTCAATCTATATGCAGAACAGGTCATTCAGGAGGCTGGGCTGTATGAGGAGTTATGTGGTATCAGGATTGGAGGAAGACTCATCATCAGCCTGTGTTACACACATGACACAACCTTGCTTACTGAAAGTGAGGAGGACATGAGACGCTTGCTACAGAAGGTTGTAGTTTGTAATATGGATTGAGGCTCAACATCAAGAAGACAGAGATTCTCACCACTGGGACAATTGGCAGCACCATGATAGGAGAAGAGATTGAGGTTGTTAACGATTTCAATTTGCTCAGCTCCACAGTCAACACTCTTGGCAGTCAGGAACTCAAAAAAAGAATTGCACTGGGAAAATCTGCAGTCAAGTACCTCTCCAGAGTACTGAAGAGCAATAATGACAGTCTAGATAGAGACTAAGGTGTGCCTAATTCAGGCCATGGTCTTTGCAGTTACTTGCTACGTGTCAGAGAGCTGGTCGGTGACTAAGAATGACAGAAGAACAATCAGTGCTTTTGAATTGTGGTACTAGAGAAGTGTTTTGAACATACCATGGGCCACCAAGAAAACAAACACGTTTGTCTTGTTGGAGAGGGTGAAGCCAAGTTTCTCTTTGGAGGCGAGGATTTTGAAGCTCTGTCTCACATATTTAGGGCACGTGGCCCAGGGGGACTGGTCCTTGGAGAAGGAAATCATGCTCAGAAGGGAAGAGGAATAGCGCAGGAGAGGAAGATCTCGGATGAGATGGATTGACAGTAAAATGGGGTAATCGGGGTGGGTGTGTCAGAGTCAATGAGATGGGCTCAAGATAGAGCAGGTTTCAGAGCTTTCTACATAAGATCGCTGTGAGTCACAGGTGATGATATTATGTATTTTCTTTGGAGAAATGCCTGTTCCAAACCTTTGCACATTTTAAAATTTAGTTTGTCATTTTATTATTGAATTGTAGGTGTTCTTTATCTCCTTTTATGTACAAATCACCTGTCACGATACATAATTTGGAAAAATTTTCTCTACTGTGAATTGTCTTTTCATTTTCTTAAATTACTAAAGTTTATAAAATTTTAGTGATGTCTGTTTCTTTTTTCTTTTGTGCTTTGCTTTTGGTGTCATATAGAATTCATAATCCAAGATTACAAAGATTTGTGCCTGTGCTCTGAAAGTCTTTGCACTGAGCATTTAGGTCTTTGATTCTTTTGTGTAAATTTTGTACTTAGTGTAAGGTAGAGATTCACATCATTGTTTTACATGTGGATATCCATTTTGTTACAGCATCTTTTTATTACAACGTTGAGCATATTTTTATAAGCATATGTCCTAATGAATTGTTGGGACATCATTGTAATAAATCAGTTGACCAAAATGATCAGAGTTTAGGTCAGGAATTTAAATTTTATTGTTTTGATCTATATGTCTCTCCTTATTCCATTACCACATTACTTACTTACTGTAACTTAGTAGTATGTTTTGTAATTGAGAAGTATAAATACTAAAAAAGTATAAATAAAGAAATGAACTGGAATTTTGAAAGGGTTTGCTTTGAATCATCTATAGATTAATTTGAAGAATAATGTCATCCTACTAATTTCAAAAATTTGTTCATGTCATGCAGTGTTTCACATGGTCTTTATCTTTTTGGAGATGAATACTTTTCCTTTATATGAATGTACCATAGTTTCTTTAGCCATTCCTCTATCAATGGACAATGGAGTGGTTTCCAAGTCTTTGCTAATAAAAATAGTGCTGCTGTGAACATGGGATATATATATCAAGTTGTGTCACAGATCTTCTTTCTTTGAAATATATATCTAGTAGATCTGTTGCTAGATCAAATGGTATTTCTATTTCCAGCTTTCTAAGGATACGCCAAATTACTTAGTGGTTGCACCATTTTACGTTCCTGTCAGCAGTGTATTAGAATTCCATACTCTTGCAAGCATTTATTGTTTGCTGGCTGGTTCAGCTATGTTATTGTTGTTAAGGTGAAATTGTATCTCCTTGTTTTTGATCTCTGCTAGCTCATGATGGTGAGCATTGTTGGCTATCTGAATGGTTTGTTTTTTTTTTGAAGAGTCTTTTCCTATTGTCTTCCATTTTGTCATTGGTCTGTTTGCAGTTTTCTTGTTGAGATTTTGGAGTTTTCAGTAAATTTTAGAATTTCAGTACATTTTGGTCACTTACCAGACATTTCACTGTCAATTTTTTTTACCCATCTGTATATTCTCCTTTTACTCATTTGAAGAAATCTTTTTAGGATGGGTCAAATCCACCAGCAACTCTATGGGAGAAAGATGGACCTTCTCCCATATGATTTAGAACCTCTGAAAAGCTAAGGAAGATCAACTGTGAGTCACTTTTGACTTGATGGTATGAGGTTTTGAGTTTGATGCACATAAGGATTTCATTTGGAGGAGGTCCCAACCATCTCACTTATCCTGTGTTAGTTGTGCGATTTTAGTTATACTTGAGAGACCACCATAGATAGAGTAGAGCCCCTAAATTTGTCCCAATTTTCTCTTTGATTAAAACCCTTTTACCTTTTTAGGATTTATATTTACGCACCAGCAGTGTTTTTGTTGTTGTAGGTAGGGTTACTGTAAGTCTGACTCAGTATCAACCAAAGAATAACAACAGCTTTGCATAAAAAATTATTAGTAGTAAACCAGCCTTTATCCTCTTTCTGAAGACTTTAGGTTCTTTCATTACTCATAGGGTTTCTGAAGACCTGTTATTTCAGAAATGAGTGGCCAGTCCTTCTTAGTCTGGAAGCTCCACTGAAACATGTATACTTTGGTTGACCCTCTGGGTATTTAAAACACCAGTGATATCGTTTCCAACATCAGAGCAACATGCAGGCCACCACAGTATGGCAAATTGATGCATGACTGTTGGAAGAAAATTGTTGGGTATGGTGCCAGCAGACAAACCTCTCAAGTAGGAATGCATTCAGACTATGCCTGGAGAAGAGCTTCCTTCTCAGAGAAGGTCTCATTTAATGACTTTGGTGGAATAAAGATTCCACCCAATGAAAGACCTTCATTTGCTGATGTGGAAAAACTTAAAATGAAGAGAAATAGCTGCATACATCCATTAATAATTTGAACATGGAAAGTATACAGTAAGTCTCAGGAAAATTGAAAGTTGTTAAAAATGAAATGGAAGGCATAAAGATTGAAATCGTAAGCATTAATGATTTGAAATGGACTTGTATTGGCCATTTGAATCAGAGTGACATATGATCTATGAACCAGCAATGGTTATTGAAACTGAATGTTACACTCATAGTAAAAAAGAACATTTCAAGACCTTTCCTAAACTGTGATGCTATGCAGGATAGGATACTATTTATTTGCATATAAGAAAGATCTGTTGATACAGGTATGTATGTATGTGTATATATATTCAGATATTCACCCCAACAACTAAACAAAATTTCTCCCAATTTTTCCAGTCTGAAATTAATGGACCATGCAATCAAGATGTGCTAATAATAATTGGATGTTGTTATGTGCCGTCAGGTCACCTGTGACTCACAGCAACCCTTTATACAATAGCCTGAAACCCTCCTTTATCCCTTACCAATCTCA